AAACCCCAAAACAAAGAGACTGTTCTACCTTACATCACCAGCAGGTGTCGCAGCAGCTCACTTGTCTCTGCGACCCTGTCAATCACTCCATCAGTGTCCAGAGCCATCAGAATCTCCTTCTCTGTGCACATGAGCATGAATGCCTCCATATGCTCCTGGGTCAGGGTGGTCCTCAGTCGATTCTTCACATATTTCAGTGTGGAGAAGGTCCTCTCACAGGCAACTTGACTGAATGACAGTGTTAGGAGGAACTTGTAGCCCAATCCAATGACATGATAGGCATCAGTCAGCAAGTTGTACTGTGACAAGACATGATGCACACAAATAGCACAGTTTTTGCAGTAGTTGCAACTGTTCTCTAGCTCCAGGTCTTCTTCTCTTCCATCCTCCCCTTCGGTTGTCCTGACATTGTATGCATCCAAATGGGGCATCTTAAGTCTTTCCCAACAGTTGGCTAGGCTTGACAGCTCAGCCTGCAGTATTCCAGCAGTGGCTCTTTCATCATACTTCTGCAAGCATTCGCTCAGCTTTTGCAATGCTTCTGTTGGAAGGCCCATTTCCTTTATTTTAGGGAAATTCCGAGGATCAAGACATGCAAAGTCTGCGCAGAGTGGTCCATTTGCAGCATAGCGACTCTGAATGCTCTCTGTGACTGTGTCCAGAATTACATTGTGGACCTTGATCCTGTAGTCTGCCTCAGCGTCTGACACAGGCTCATCTTCAGCCAACTCACCTGGCATGGCCTTCTTTCTCCTGACCCGTTTCTCTGGGAGCACAGCTTGGACCACAACTTCACAGTCCTCCTTCTCCTGCAGCTTGGCATTGGCCCACTCCACAAATGCATCTGCTGCTCTTTTCACCTCATCAAAACCCCTGACACACTTGTTGAGGCTCTCTTGGGTCCCTATTACTAACCGATGGGCAGTCAGTAAGTCCATGCCGCTGGTTTGGAGATACTTGGAGAGGGGTGACGTGATTTCAAATATTCGGAGAAAGATCTGAGCGGTCAGTATTGTCTCGAACCTTAGGAGAGACTCTGTGTACCCCCTGGCTTTTGCTCTGACATGTGGCTTCATGGAGTCATCTTCTTCAATCCTTGTTAATGTTGACACCAAGTCAATAAACAAGGCACGATTGCCAAAACACCCAAATATCTTGCTCAGAGCCTGATCCTTGGCCCACCACCTTGTCTCCCCGATTGGAGACAGCCGTCTGTGTCGTGTGTCTTCACTCACTTCCTCCCACATGTTCATACGCTTGTATGACTCTCTGATGAATACAGCAACATCATTCAGAAGTGAGAAGAGCGATGCACTGGCTATCACAACACCTGTGGTGTCTCCTAGCACAAGGTTCAGGACGTGTGCGTAGCACCAGATGTGCACTTGGTTGGGAGACTCTGCGGAGAGCAAGGTGGAGAACCCCTTGTATTGGCCCTGCATGTTTGCCGCTCCATCGGTTGAGTTTCCCACACAATTCCGAAGATCAATGTCCACCTTTGCCAGAGTTTTCTTCAGTAGCTCTACAAAATATTGTCCAGTTGATGACTCACAATCAACCACAGCTATGAGCCTCTCGTGGACCACATCTGTCACATACCTGAGGATAACAGCACACTGGTCTGTAGATGTAACATCCTGTGTGGTGTCGATCTGCACAGAAAACATGCCTGCCACCCTTACTTCCCTAGATATGGTTTCTTGGATTAAGTGGCTGATGACATTGATCACTTTGTTCACTGTAGTTTTTGAGAGCAGAGTGACAAAGGACCCTCTGCCTTTAGACCCAGTCTCATGCAGCTTCTTGCTTTTTTCAACACATTGGGTGACATGTTCCTGCAGGCAGACATCGTATTTGCTGAGCAGGATGATTAATTCCAAGAAGTTGCCATGGTCAGCAATTTTCTCCCATGTGTATGCTGCTTCAAATTGTTTGCCTCTAAAGCTTAGACCACGCTTTCCAATGACTCTCACTACTTCTATGACACGTTCCATGACTTGCCGTTTCTTTCTGACATGGTCTCTGTGTAGAGACATTTGTTTGCCACTGAGTAGGCTTGCTACGTCTGCTTTACTAGCCTTCATAAAATATGCCTCTGCACTTTCTCTGTGGACTTGGTTTTTCTCGTGCTCTTCTATTCTTTGATGTACATGCTTCCAAGATGTCATTCCTCCTTTGATGAATGAGCTGTCATTTGCAGATGGCTTTGCATACGCTAAACATACTGTACAGTAGAGTGAGTTGGATTTCTCACAATATGTAAGCCACTTTCTATTGATTCCATCTTTATTGTTGTAGATATTTTTAACTGTTTGTTTTGGGGGTTGTTGAGGGTGGTATGCGAAAAATGTATTTATATCTTTAGCCTGAGGCCGGGCAAAGTAATCAAAGCTCACTTCATCAGTCTGCATCTCCCTGTCTTTTGGTTCTCCTGTGCTGGACCCTGCAGCTGTCTCACTTTCCTCAGGGTCAACTGTACTTGACCCTGCAGCTGTCTCCCTTTCCTCAGGATGAACTGTACTTGACCCTGCAGCTGTCTCACTTTCCTCAGGGTCAACTGCATAAGAAGAACATCAGCAATCAATTAAATTACCAATATTATATCAATATCATGCACAGTAATGTCAATCACTAAAATGAATGCAATAGTGAATTGGCCACAAATCTCTGTGTCCTTATTATTTAATATTAATATTATTAAATATTAATATTATTTAATATAATTATTTAAAATTATAATATTAATATTATATAATTTAACTTGGAATATCATGAGCATATGACTCTATCCTAATGCATCTAACCTTATGCACAATATAATAGTCTGGCCAGCCCTGCAGCCCATTCTAGGTTCTGATAGGCTCTCTAGGTTGGCATTCTAGCTTCTGACTGGCTGTCCAGGTTGTCAATCACAGCCGTGGGCATTTTATATTAGTCGTAACATTGCTAAACTTTTTTCATGACGGTTTTCTCAGTTAACTAATGCTATTGCTAACAGTAACATACATTAACACAGCCCTGCACACTGCACACTGCACCTGCTGTCATTATATGCCGGGTCTGTGGTTCATCATCTTCCTTCTCATTCTCCTCCTCATTACTGCGACAGGGAGCGGGAGCCCTTCTACTAAACAGCTCTGTGATTTTCGAAAATTGTCCAGCTTCTTCCTGTAGCAATTTTCGTTTTTTCATTCTGGCTTTTTCAGCCCCACCCTTTCTTTTTTTACTGTTCTCCATCTTTTCTTTCTCAATTTTGCTAGCTAACTTACTGATCAATCATCAAACGAAGCTAGGGAGCTTGTCTGATGAGTGCGGACCTCTGACGCGGGCCTCGCCCTCTTTCCAATTGGAAGAGACGACTCATCTCTCCCGGCCCAGCCCCTTCAGTTCATTCAGCCTACTTTCAAAAACATAAGATTGACAAGTTTGACAACCTATCAATAGCCCCGTTTACATGGAATGTTTTTCCGGTCGTATCCGATCACTAAATAAAGCGATCCACGTTCACTCGTGGGCCAAGCATTAAGCTGATTACAATTTCACCGGTACCGAAGTGGGCCGATCGGAGTGGGGCAGTGGGCCGCGTCGAGTGGTCCGACCGGCCCACTTCGGTACCGGGCTACCGGCCCATCGGGATTCGTCCCGAACGTCCCGATGGCCAGTCCGCCCCTGCCTGCGTCCCTGAGGAAGCAGGTATCAGATCAGAAATGAATTGACATTTGCGTGAAATGTGAATACATGATAGACTTTATCACAAGCTGTACCTGGGATGAACCGGTTGAGGTGGAGGCGGAAGGACTCCAAAGATGTGGAGCCCCTCGCGCAGCGATAGACCGGCAGGATGACTCCGCCCTTTGTCAGCCTGCCGGTCTGCGTGTACAGCTGCACGCCAGGTGGGTCCTGTATGCAGCTGAGGTGGGGCCTCTGCGTACTCCATATGTCCTGGATGCGGAGAGGGTCAAGCAACGGGATGTCCAGGTTGTTGCGTCCTGCCGTACCGCCGAAGGTTTGGAGGAGGTCCTGGATCAGGAGCGCCGTCTCCTCCGCCCCACGCGTCCGACGACGGCAGTGGAGCCTCCACTCCTCCCTGGTGATCTTCTGGATCACCTCGGCGTCGGTCAGGCCGACCATCCCGTGCTTCCCCTCCAGCTGGGACCGCTTGGCTTCAGTGAGACGGCGGGCATCTCCGGGTTCCACCTCGAAGATGCACAGAGACAGCTGCCTCATGAAGGCGGGGTACAGCTCGTGGCTCCCTGTGGTGACACCTGCTGCGAAACGTCGCATCAGGTGCCAGATGTCCAGTCTCACCACAAGCTGTCCCCACTCCTGTGAAAAGGAAACAAAAGTCTGTCTGATTATTAGAGTACAATTTTTCTCAAATACTGTTTTTATGATGTTGTAATTATCTTGAACAACACCTAGCGTGGCTTTGGTCAATAGTCATTTAGTGTAAGATAAATAATATTGCGATAATTCTACTATGATTATCAGTACTAGTATTGACAGGCCAGACCTGAAACAAGGCAGCTGTCTTTGACATGCCGTCTCTGTTGCAGCAGTCCCGATCCACGTAGATCAGCTGGGGGGTGGTACCCTCGGCGAGTCGGTACCCGCCTCATCAGTCCGGCCGCCATACTGGACAGGCCCTCGGCGCCCTCGGAGCAGGTGAGGACGCTGATGAGGACCTGCCCCGTATTCGTTACCAACGTTGGTAACCCAGGCGGCCGTGTCGAAAGCGATACCGGCGAGCTTCTTCGTCACCTGGACACAAAGAGAGAAAGAGAGAAAGAGAGAAAGAGAGAAAGAGACAGAGAGAGAGAGACAGAGACAGAGAGAGAGAGAGAGAGATTTCAAATGTGAGTGCATAAACACACGGCGGCTGTAAAAAAAAAATGAAATTGTGACCAACTATACTGACCTTCTTGGTGGAATCCATCTTAAGGATGGATCCGAAGGTGGACGTGATCCTGGCCTTGTACTCATCCAGCCGCGTCATTATGTCATAGCCGTAGACTGTCAGCAGCCAGATGGGTGAGGGCAGAGTGGGCATTTGGGGTGGTGGTGGAAACTGCCCCCTCACGCTGCACAAGGCCAGGAACTGCTCGCCACACGCCGAGGGTACTGGATCGCTCTCCGCATCCAGGCGTCCGAGTGCTGCTCCCGCAGGGTGTTGCACAGCTGAGTGCACTGTTGCCCAGAGTGCGGGACTTCAGCTGTGTAACCACCCTATGGTCACAGGACAGCCTGCAGAAACACAAAACAAGCATTATATACAGCTCCGGCATCACATTCATTGCATTTATTTATATATACGGTATGTTGTCAATTCCTCTCACTTGTACGTAAGTACTGCTGGGAACTGGCAGCTGTAGGTGGGGGCCAGCTGCCTGATGATGCCCTGTGACCACCCGCCGACCTTCTTCTTGCATCGACGGCACTCCAGGTACTCAGTGGCCATGAGATACCAGCCGTCGATGTCCAGGACCCTCCGGATGGTCCTGTACAGCCCAGCCTTCACCATGGACCCGGTGCATGAAGGCTGGGGGCATGTCAGCTGCAGACGCCAGATCCGGTGTGGCATCCAGAGAAACAGCCGACATGCAAAGAAGGGGTCGGGGGACGCGGGAGGCTGGTGGTAGATCGGCCGGGATTGGGGGGGGCTCCACCACAGATTCAAGTCTGTGATGAGGCTCGGCCTCCCCCACTGGTCCCTGGTGAACAGCACCCGACCGATCCACTGCTGCTGCTCTGCAGTGAGAGCTGCCCGCCATGACTCGGGCAGCAGCTGGAGAGAGAACCAGAGGAACGTAAAGGGCACTTATATCTGAGGACATCGCTCCAGGGCAGCAGATGAGCAGCGTTTACTTTGACAGACAGTCTTACCTCATGTGGCGGAGGAGGGAGGAAGGCTGGCCCCGGCAGCTCCTCCTGTCCGGGAGTAGCAGCACCGGGGGCTGCCGTGGCTGCGGGCGGCGGTGGCGAGGAGGGAGCTGGTGACTCTGCAGGCTGGACTCCTGCTGGAGGTCGCAGGGGGTGGTGTTGTTTCCTGCGTGGCCTCCAGTAGCTCCTCGTCCGTGGGCTCGACAGAGACACCAGCCCCCTTGTGTGGTGCGGAGGAGGAGGTGGCGGGAGGTGGATGGAATGAGAGAGGGGCCTGTACATCTGAGGCTTAAAGATAAATCAAACTCAACTTTATGTCAATCTCAAAATATGTTTGTACCCACAGAAAGATTGAAATACTGTTTCCCACAGTCCCGAGGTATAAAAAAGACACACAAATGTTTAATTAACATGAAAGAATTAGATGTTAGTTGTGTTGTGTTAATATTGAGCCACAGAAAACTAAAACCTAGTGGAGCACAGAAGGTTGTTTAAAGAGAGAAAGTGACGACGAGACAAAACAACGACACCAGATTTGACTTGTTGAGGGAGCGATGCAGGCAGCGAGCGGTTGGAGGGGTTACACGGGTTTACGAGGGAGAGGATGATGAGCTTACTCTACATCTACAAGCACTCGTTAGTGATGATTTGACAGGCGATTGGTCGGCGTGAAGCTTGGTGATTTGAGACTTGCAAAAGGCGGATAGTTTTTCATTAAAGCAAATTACCTGCCAGGTCATATCCTTCTGAATACGGACATATTTATAGAGCAAAATAAAGGGAGAAGGGTCAAAAATGAAGTCAAACTTTCAGTTATCAACAACATGTTGCATGAATGCTACTTCAGTTTTTACTTACACTCCTCCATGTCAACTACCGCCCTGATCAGCTCTTCATCGGAAGGCTCCTCCGATGGCTTGGAGGGAAGAGCTGATCTGAGGGAGGCTGTAATTGCAACGTGAGTGAGAAGAAAATATACAGTGAACATGAGAAATACAAATAGGGTTAAACTGTGCATTTCATTTAGGCTGGACTTGCCTGGAAATGCAGGCTTAGGGTCAACCAGCTTATTGATCTGTGCCTGCATTTCCACGGCAGGCAGAGAACGCCGCCCGGACACGAAGGCCGCAAACGCTGAAGCAGGCCTATGAGACAGAACAACATCTAGAATGCACAGCATGAAAAACACCAACGTGTCTTCAGAAAGGTCATCCAGGTACGTCAAACTCAGACAGCTTTAAAATAAGACACGTACTTTGATGTAGTCCTCACTCTCTGGCCAGAGACTGTGCTGCTGCTGGTTCTGCTGCTGGTGGTGCTGGTGGATGGAGCAGCAGCAGCAGCAGCAGCAGCAGCAGCAGAACCAGCAGCAGCAGCAGGTCTCTGTCTGTCTCGGCTCTTCGTGTAGCGGACGGCGTTCTCCATCTGCTGGCGGGTGTGGGAATCTTCCTCCGGAGGTAGTTGACAAATCTACAAAAATCAGACAATTTGTCACGTGATTCTTATCAACCGAATTAGAATCCACATGTATGTATATATATATATATATATAAATAGAGAGATAATACGACATACCGGATTTTTTTGGGGTCTACAGAGTTGTACAGGCCGTCCAGGGTCTCAAATTTAAAGTCCCCGAAGCCAACAAGGGCCTGTCCCTCCTGACCAGGCAGGAGGGACTTTGCCCGCGCCTCCTCAAACGCCCGGTGGAACCTGACTGCCTCCACAAAGTCAGGGTACGCTGAGGAGTAGCGGGTGAAGGCGTCCTGTAAATTCACAAATAAGGTTAAAACTGTTGTCACTCTTTTAATGGTATTGTGAATCAGACTGAAGGACTCCACCTTGTTGACCATCAGCGGAGACTGAGACCCTGTCCTCTCTCGCTCCTTCTGGTGGGAGGCGACCAGATTGACGGCGTAGCCCACGTCGTTCTCCAGGAGCCAGTGGAAGATCTTTCCCTGGTACTGGCCGAACTGGACCTTCCACCGGCTCAGGACGAGGGTGGCGTTGTCGGTGGAGCCACCCTCGGAGGAGACGTGGGCCCAGGCCTCCGCGTCCACCTCCTCTTCTTTGCCCTGTATGGGGCTTGGCCGGCTGCTCGCCGGGGGGGCGAGGGCGCTGGCTTCGGCCGTGGCCTTCAAGAAGAGGGTCCCGTTAGGTGCCCTTCTAAATTCTGGGTGTTCCATCTACACAGAGTTGGACTCAGTTAGACCACTACCACAAATACAATGAAGTACTTTACTGTAGGCTACTATGAAGTAATTTTTACTGTGTACTTTTTCAGTTATTCTCTGTCAAACTCCTGTGGCAGAAAATCATTTTATCTCTCTCATCTGAGCTCCGTTACACACACACAGGAGCGGGACATCCTCCTCAACCTGTCCGCCATAAATGCCTCAGAGGACGGATACCTGAACCGTAGCGTCCAGCTAGCTTAGCCGCTAGCTTAGCGATAAATACACACAGCGTTGTATTGTCCTCCCCCTGTCGGCCCTAACAGCTTCAGAGGGTGGATACCTGAGCTCCGTAGCGTCCCGCTAGCTTAGCCGCTAGCTAAAGGTAAACACACACAGCAGTTCATCAGCGGTTCACAAAGTACCGTACAAACACTACGGTTAACTCAGTATGACTAATCTCGGACATAGAAGTGCGTTTGTAACAGTGTTTAAACGCGTATTTGCTAATAATGAATGCACATTTTTACTCACAGTGTCGCTTGGTTGAAGTGTCAGTGTGAAAAAACAATGGCGGACGGAGGAGCGCTTGCTGAGAATTATGGAACAAATCCGCCTCACCGATTGGACGCCAAAAGCCCCAAAAGTTTGATTCTCTCTTATGGAACATATCCGGCCTCCCTATTGGGCGAGATATGGAACTAAGCCTGGACAGCCATTGGTCAGAAATTGGAACATTGGAACAGAGAATAACAGCTCACCGGTAGCGCAAGGATGACACGCAAATTCGTGAAGCGTTCCTTATTGTTTCCTTCCTGTAGCTCTTTTCTATGATTTAATATAATTTTTTAAAGATTTGATATGATTTGGGATGATTTGGGGTGAAACAGCGCCCCCATGGCCGCATGTGGTACTGCGGCTGCAGAGCCTGCTCTGATCTCCTCTGCACTCTGCTCCTCTTCACTCCTCTGCCTTTCTTTATAACACTTAAACATTTAGTTCACTAGTTTCACTTCGAGTAGTGGATTATGCTTTTAACTTGTGGAGGAGAGACACCACCTCTGAGCTCTGTGCCTTCATGACTTCTTCTGTTTGCATCTCACATTTCTGTTATTACAATAAGCAGGATTTCATCTAACAGGAGTCATCTGTGCATGTAAACAGAGCAGCATCTGATCACAGTAAATACAGACCTGAGAGGTTTAGAAATCTGGATGCTGCACAGAGTCTAAAGTGCCACTTTAGCGGGACGTTACTGAGCTCAGGAGACCTCCGCCCTCTGATGCATTTAGGGCTGACAGGTTGAGGAGGATGTCCCGCTCCGCTGTGCATCAGAGGGCGGATACCTGAGCTCCGTAACGTCCCGCTCACATGGCTGTCTGCAGCATCCAGGGAAACACACACAGCGGAGCGGGACATCCTCCTCACCCTGTCAGCACTAAATGCATCAGAGGGCGGACTCCTGAGCACCAGCATGACCCCTTAAACACTTCCACCTCCGTGACCTGCACAGTCCAAGTGTTTCCAAGTGTAGAGCTCGTAAAGCTCCGTTGTACTAACATCGATTACTTCATCAGCGTTTCACAAAGTACGTACACACAGCACGGTTAGCTCAGAAGTAGGCCTATGACTAATGTCGGACATAAAAGTGCGTTTGTAACAGTTTTTACACGCGTATTTGCTAACAATTAATGCACATTTGACTCACAGTAGGATAGGCCTACTGCCCATTCTTCTCTGTGAAAGCAGGGGGGCAAGGAGAGGAAAGTGGGCCCAAAAAGTGAAAATAAAAAATAAAAAAGTGAAAGTGGGTCCGCGGTTCGATCCCCAGCTGTGGCTCCCCTCTCAGCCATGACAGCCAGCACTGACTGACACATAGTGACTCTAAAACAGGGGGTTTAAATTAAAGGGTATAAATTATAAATGTATAATCTGTGAAAAATTCACAAATTTCTCACAAACTGAGCAGCCAAAGGGTTTCTCTCCTGTGTGGATTTAGATCTCTTCTATATCTAAAAGCTTTCTTACAGACTGAGCAGCTGAATGGTTTCTTTTCAGCACTACGTCGTGGATCACTGACAGATTCTTGTCTATTTTTCAGTGAGTTTGAGCCTGAGGCAGGTTCTCTGGTCTCCTTCCAATCAGCACTGTGTTCAGAAGAGTCTCCAGTGTCGTCCTCAGTCTTTGGTTGTAAACTGCTCTCTGGATCTGAGTTCGAGGAGGAGGAGGGGCAGCCATGACAGCCAGCACTGACTGACACATAGTGACTCTGAAACAGGGGGTTTTGGTCAATGAGGATGATTGTAATAAACTACAAAGACTACGGTATACTATCTGTAAAGTGCTGTGAGATAACATCTGAATCAATAAAAAACTGATTTGATTAAAGAAAGGTTTGTACTACAGAGCTGTATTATGATGCACGTTATATATATTTATTACATGGTTTAGTTGAATACTCGATTCTGATTGGTCAATTCAGAACACGTGACACGTTGTTAATCCAGAACAGACAGACCGCTGTCAAGGATTTATGACCGTTGTTAAGGACGCTCAAATCTGCAGAAAGAAGTCCGGTCGATTGAACTGTATACAGTTTGGCTCGAACTGACAAGACAAGAGACGCTCAGAAAGAAGTTCGGTCATTTAACTGTTTTTCAAATTTAACAGTTTGAAAAGCAAGCAAACTGTCTGCTTGTCTTTAGTTTTCCGCTGTCGTGTGATAGCAACATGGAGGATTTTAACATTAATTTTAATATATTTGGAGAGCACAGTAATTTGGAGGAATGGTTAGTGGCTGATGAGTCCCCAGTGAAGAAAAGAAAAAGACAAGAGGGACAAGAAAACAGCGGAGGAGTAAGAGAGGCGAAAAGACACCGAGATTTGAATGACAGAGAAATCGACCAAATTGAAGAGGACAGGCATGAATTGAATACAAAACGGAACACATTATGGGCTATGAAACTATTTAAAGACTGGTTGATTGAAAAAAAGAACCAACAGAGTTTGACAGCTATGGAGCAGAAACCCTGAACACGCAGCTGCGGTCCTTTTATTGCAACGGTCCAGACCTCAAACGGCAAAACCTATTCAGTTGCCAGTTACTTG